AGCCTGTTAACAACATACTCTGTTCCAAAGGCCAACAATGTCATAAGTATTTGGAAGCTTGTACCTAATCCTTAAAAGATTTTAGGGTTATCTCTTTGGGGGGGGGTGTTTGGGGGGGGAGTGGGCATGGATTTGATCAAAGCACCTTTTATGCATGCATGTATGAAATTCTCAATAAAGAATGTTAAGAGTAGCCAAAAGCCCTATAAAAATAAATAAATCAAAGAAGAAGAAAGAGTACATGAAGTTATCAGAAAAAAAGTGATAGGGAAATATGGAAGGAGTTAGAGGGGAGGGAGTGAGCATGGATTTGATCAAATCACCTTATATGCATGTACTAAATTATCAGTAAATTATTTATTTTAAAAAATTTATGTAGACCCACTTATAAAATTTAGAACTATAAAATGTCAAAAATAGAAAATCATGATTATGCACTTATAGAATTCTTATTCACAATACCAAAACAATAAGAGGAAAGCGTCAAAAAATATCTAAAATGTTGCTGCAGATGTAACTTATTTGGTAGAGCAGTTGGCTTGGTGTGTGCAAGGTCCTGAGTTCAACCCCTCTTAATAGAAAAATAGTAGTGCTAACAGGATGGGAGAAAATATTTGTAAATAATATGGCTGACAAAAGACAAATTCAAAATATGTAAACAAAACTAAAATCTCAAAACTAAGAAAAGAATTCAAGCCCAATGTGGTGAGCCACATGTAATCTCAACACTTGGAAGGATGAAAGAAGAGTATCACCATGACATTGGGGACAGGCTAGGATACATAATAAATTCAAGGCCAGCCTGGACTACAGAGTGAGACCTTATCTCTGTACTAAATAAATAAAAACTGGACAAAAGAGGTGAACATGGCTAGGGATATAGCTTAGATGTAAAAGTGCTTCCTAACATACACAAGTCTCAGGATACAATCTCTGGTAACACACATTAACACACACACACACACACACACACACACACACACACACACAAATCCCAGGGGAGGCAAAAAAAGGGAGAGAAAAACAGGGGAGAAGGAAAAGCTGTGCAGTTGGAATTGCTCCTCATCTTCTTTCACTAACATACTAACCTCTTGTGGCAGCACATGCCTGTAGCCCCAAGACTCGAGAGGCGAAGAAATAACCTGAATATCCAGTAACACATAATCAAACAAATTTTGATATGGCTACAAAATGATGTAATATTAAACCCTAAAGAATAGAGAATTAAACAAATAAAGTTAAGCTCAACATCATAATTGAGTGAAATAAGGGAACTACCAGTGAATACACACTGACTGATTATATTCATATGAAATTCAGACACATGAAACTGATCTATAATGATGAGCATGAAAAGAGTACTGCTGTGAGGTGAGCTTGGGAACAGCAGCGCTGAGATGCTGAACATGGGAACAGCAGTGCTGAGATGGTGAACATGGGAACAGCAGCGCTGAGATGCTGAACATGGGAACAGCAGTGCTGAGATGGTGAACATGGGAACAGCAGCGCTGAGATGCTGAACATGGGAACAGCAGTGCTGAGATGGTGAACATGGGAACAGCAGCGCTGAGATGCTGAACATGGGAACAGCAGTGCTGAGATGGTGAACATGGGAACAGCAGCGCTGAGATGCTGAACATGGGAACAGCAGTGCTGAGATGGTGAACATGGGAACAGCAGCGCTGAGATGCTGAACATGGGAACAGCAGTGCTGAGATGGTGAACATGGGAACAGCAGCGCTGAGATGCTGAACATGGGAACAGCAGTGCTGAGATGGTGAACATGGGAACAGCAGCGCTGAGATGCTGAACATGGGAACAGCAGTGCTGAGATGGTGAACATGGGAACAGCAGCGCTGAGATGCTGAACATGGGAACAGCAGTGCTGAGATGGTGAACATGGGAACAGCAGCGCTGAGATGCTGAACATGGGAACAGCAGTGCTGAGATGGTGAACATGGGAACAGCAGCGCTGAGATGCTGAACATGGGAACAGCAGTGCTGAGATGGTGAACATGGGAACAGCAGCGCTGAGATGCTGAACATGGGAACAGCAGTGCTGAGATGGTGAACATGGGAACAGCAGCGCTGAGATGCTGAACATGGGAACAGCAGTGCTGAGATGGTGAACATGGGAACAGCAGCGCTGAGATGCTGAACATGGGAACAGCAGTGCTGAGATGGTGAACATGGGAACAGCAGCGCTGAGATGCTGAACATGGGAACAGCAGTGCTGAGATGGTGAACATGGGAACAGCAGCGCTGAGATGCTGAACATGGGAACAGCAGTGCTGAGATGGTGAACATGGGAACAGCAGCGCTGAGATGCTGAACATGGGAACAGCAGTGCTGAGATGGTGAACATGGGAACAGCAGCGCTGAGATGCTGAACATGGGAACAGCAGTGCTGAGATGGTGAACATGGGAACAGCAGCGCTGAGATGCTGAACATGGGAACAGCAGTGCTGAGATGCTGAACATGGGACCAGCACAGCTGAGATGGTGAACATGGGACCAGCAGCACTGAGATGATGAACATGGGAACAGTAGTGCTTAGATGGTGAACATGGGAACAGTAGTGCTTAGATGGTGAACATGAGAACAGTAGCCCTGAGATGATGTGCATGATCCTGTGAAATGGTGAACATAAGAACAGTAATGCTATCGGAAACGAAAGATGACTGGCAAGAAAGTTCTGGCACAATTAAAATGTTTGAAGCCTTTGGATGGGTAGATAAGGATGTGTACACTGATCTCAATTGACTAGGCATAGAAGCCCGGACTTAGAATTCCAGCACTAAGGGAGCTGAGGCCAGAAGACCACTAGTTCCAGGAACATCTGTGCTCTATAAAGACATCCTGTTTCAGAGTAGGATAAAATCCAAGTGTACACTTTTGATCTATGTACTTCATTGTGTGTTAATGTTACCTCAAAAGAAATAAAATAGAGTCTTTTACTTCAGTAGTAGAAAATGCCCAGCACATTACATTAGTACCTTGCATCTAATGAGTGAATGGTTGTTTTCAGAAAGTATGTTTATTGACTAGTTCCAATTCACATAGAAATGCATAAATCCACATAGGCATCCTTAAAGTTTTAGAATACAGAAGTATCTAATTATAAGCATACTACCTACATAGATTAAAAAATGAGTCATAAAATATTTTTAAAAATGAGTCTTGCCTATATAAGCATGAATGGACCAAATAAAGTACTGAAACAGCAAATAAACCATGGGAGAGCCAACAACTTTCTGTTTTCCCATGTATCCTATCTTGGGAGCAAGTGATCTATTAATAAATTCAACACCAAAGAGTATACACAATCATGTCACTTCTGATGGGCAAGAATGACAGCTAACAATATAATGTTAATGTGAATGGAAAAATATGGTTAATGTTAACCTCCTGTAATTTCTATTCTTAATCAAATCTAACATAGATGCTACATCCCAGTTATTTTAAGCAGGACCTACAGCTGTAACCCTAGCTCTCATATGTTAATAGGTATGTGATTTTTCCATCACTTATGACAAAAATCCCTGAGGATATAAAGCAGAAGGATTTATTTTGGCTTTCCAATTCACAGGTTTCAGTCCTCGAGCTTCTAGTTGTGTTGCTAATGGACAACATCATGATGGGCAGTCGAAAGATGGTAGAGCAAATCAGCCCAGCTCAGGGTGGACAGGGAGCAGGAAGGAAAAGGGGCATGCTTTCCACTGCCTCCCACATATACAACAAGGAGCTAATCTGTCCATTAGGTCTGAGAGCTTGGGATCCTCACTTCCCCAAAGTCCATCAGCTGGCAAGAGAACCCCCAAATGAACGAAGAGTCTTATAGTCAAGTCACAACAGGAAGTATAAAACATTTTAACCCCAGATGAACTTAAGTGATAGTTCAAATGAAACCCCCCCAAAGTGGAATAAACTGGATAAAAGAACACTTACACTGACAATATCTTACCAGATCTCCTAACTCTTTATTTTAAATATATATAAATAAAAGATATAAAACTTAGTATTTAACTAAATAAAAGATACATAATTTAACATTTTACCAAATATCTTATATTTTAACCAAAAACTTATCTTCCAAACTGAAGTAAAAGATAATCCTTATAACCCAAACATACACACACAGAGGTAATTAAACACAGTAGTGAAAAAGCTCATATACCTTTTAACATTATATGAGACCTAGAATTATAATTGTAAGTTCTATTATAAAATAATTGACTGTGAGATGTATTTTCTATGCTAGATTTGATAGAGACTAGAAGTTATAGGTAGTTAACACAAACATATTTTACTATACAAATTATTGTCAATATTATTTATACTTTCAACTATTATCCCTGCCCATAAGAAGTAACAATGATTTATGTGTATTTGCATAATCATAACATAAACAAGTTCTGTGTGTTCTCAAGAATTTAAACTGCTTCTTTTTAAATATTTTTTATTATTTTTATTTTATGTGTATGTGTGTATTGCCTGCGTGTAGGTTAAGTACACCCGTGTCGTGCAATGCCCGTGGAGATCAGAAGAGGCTGTCGGATCCCCTGGGATTGGAGTTATGGACAGTTGTTAGCTGCCATCTGGGTGCTGGGATTTGAACCCAGGTCTTCTACAAGTACAACCAGTGTTCTTAATTGCTGAGCCATCTCTCCAGTCCCTTAAACTGCTTCTTAAAGGGAGGGACTCTAGATAGGCTGACTAGACCTCAATAGATGAACTTGCAGTGAGGGACATCTGGGGACACTAATTTGACATGATAGGCCTTAACACAAATGACAGAATGTATGAATTCAAATGAGTGGGGCCTATGGGAGGGGACTAATGGGGAAGGAGTATAAAGATGATTAAGATGTTCTGTGAAATATGCAAAAATTCAAAAGAATTTTTTAAGTATTTAAACTGATGTAGAATTGCTATAAAAAAGAAAACAAGGTGAGGGAACAGGGAGCAGCCCCTTTTAGGCTCTCTGTAGGGCAGCATACCTGCGCCCTCCTCTGCACCTCCAGAAGTTCAGAACTCTGCAGTTCCAGCTCCTTCTTCTGTTTGTGCCAGCAGCTCTCTTGGGCCTTGATCTGTTCTGCCACTTTGTTTAAGGTGTCTTCCTGAGCCTGCTGAAGCTCTCTCATAGTATCAGATTTGTTTTTACAGATATACTCCAGATGACTTATCTATGAAGGGAAATGACATGTAGAATAAAATACAATAAAGTATTACTTCTTTGTATGACCTCATCAACAAAAACACCTAATTGTTCTACTGTATTTTATTCCTTAAGATCATACAAATATTGTAAGTTAAACTGTAAATAGATTAAGAAATAGAAATTATCAGGGTAAACGATAATATTTTAGCAGAAAATGGTTATGTTTTTATATACCTAAACAATGAATTTTTATTCTTCTCTTTCTAATAAAGTAACTTATTCTGTAATCAATTTCAAAAAGACAATTAAGAAAAAGATTCTTCTCCTAAAACTAAAGCTGGGACAATTTTGGGTACCTCAGTGGAAAAGTAAATATTTAAATTAGATTTATAAATGTGCAAACATTTTGTATATAATAAAACAGAATGTTCCGATTATTTTTTTCAATTTAACAGACATCCTTATCTAAAATGTGTGACAATTAAAAATGTCTAAAAACTATTAAAAACATAACAGCATTTAGAGTAAAAGCAAATATTTTATTTATCAGTCTGTTTAAAGCAAATTAACCATATTCCCAATTACAAGCTGCCTCTGCTACTCACAGTTCACATCCTCTTTTCTCAGTCCTAACCCTAAGCACCTCTGCACATGCAGCCAATGCTAAAGAGAAAATGCTCGCAACACAAAATCTTACCTTGAAATGAGACTATTTTGTTAATACAACATATTTATTTGTAACTTGCAGAACAGTATTTCTCTTCCTGTCCTTTAAGAGTAAATGTCATTGTAACCAAGATCTGAACATTAACTCTAGAAATTATTTGTCACAAACAGAATTCTGACCAGTTCAACAGACCCTGAATAAGAAACAATATCTTTAGTGTCAGCATATATTAATCCACTAAGCTATTTTAATTTTCTGTTAACAAAAGCAGAGTGCTTTGTTTTTTGTTTTTTGTTTTTTTGTTTTCTTTCTTTCTTGGGTAGACTGAATTCCTAGGCTTAGAGAATGGTAAACTGATCATAAAAGTCTACAATTTTGATCTATAAAATACATGTTTCACATTCTAAAGTATAGGTTATATTTTTCTCATAAGCAGTTTTTTGCATCTGAAGAAAAAAGTCAAAAATATAACTTAAAATTTTCTAAGTACTTTTAAAGGAACATTTCATATTTCCTAAGCAAAGACTTTTAAGATCATGTTTTTTAATAACGATATCCTGTTTCTATTTTATGCCAACATAAAGAGTTGGTTTATTAATGTAAATGACTAAGTTCTTTGAATTGCTTCATCAGTAAGATTAATTTATTTTCTTTTAATTAGGTCCCTGTGGCTAATACTGGCTAGTAGTATTAGCATGTCCTGCACAGAAAGTGGAGCTTAGAGACTTCATACAGACTTCAGTCACATTTACATGCCCACAGCAATGGCATCAAACTGAGTTGTAGACAAGCCATAATTAATGGTACTGAATTATTAACATTCAAATTCTTTTTGAAATAAGATGAATGTCAGCCCCTCTTAATGATACTGTGATGTGGACAAATGTCACTGAATTTAATGGAGGTATCTGGTGCCTGAGGACAGTTACCTTCTCATTAGCCCTGTTGAGGTCTGCAATGAGGGCATCAACATTCTCCTGCAAGACTGCACAAAGCTCAGACCAAGAGAATTTATCCAACATGTCTTCTGGTTGTTTTATGAGCACACAGCCTGCTACCAAGTGCTGATACAAGGTATGAAGGAAGGTTAGTTTCTCCTGCAAGAAAAAAAAAACTAATTAATTCCTGAATATGAACACATAATACACACAGTGAAGAATTCATTTTTTTCTCACATAGAGATGCCCCTTCTTTATTCACGTTGAAACCTATGTGACAGAACACTGGGGATTTCTTACACTGCTATCAAAACCAAATTCATTAGAAGCCAGGCCAGGTTTCTGATCCAGCTTGCTACTGAGGAGGATATGAGCATCTGTTTAGTCCTGTTTCCTTTGCCATAATGCAAGGTATCTAGGTTCGTTGTTTACAAGATCCTTTCTTTGGAACTCAATATGGTAATTGTGAAATTTCTTATTTATATTTGACAAAACAGGTGTTAAGTCACAAAACAATATCAAGATAAGAGTGTCATTCCACACTGATGAAAAAAAGTTATAACAGTATCTGTACTTTACATGTCCACAATTACTCAGCTTCTTTCCCTCCAGAGATTCCAGTTTACTTACCACTTATAGGAAATCTATCCCAAGGCCCTTAGGCAAAGCAAAGAGTGATATGCAATATATAGAAGGGTTTGTTCCCCCACTTATAAGTTCATATTGTATTTGGCACACTGGGCACCTGCAGGTGTTTAAATATTACAAAGTAACAGGGAAATAAAAAGTGGATATAACTGCCCAAGACATATTTTCAAATCTATTAATTAGAAACGTTGTTTAAAACCCCTTTAAAGGCATATCATCATTACAGTAATTAACTGTCTACTACTGAGTGGCCTAAAGATATTTACTCCACTCTAGAATCAGTATAAACCTGACCTTATCTTTAACACACTGTAATGACAAATAGCCTTCTTTCTACGGTACTTCATCTCAACACATAAAAATCAAAGACAAAGTAAATGTGAAGCTGCAAAATGAATGAATATTTAATGTGGAAAAAATCGGTTCCCTCAAGATGTCTTTATTTATCAGCAAGGAGAAAAAAACTTTGAAAGAAGAAAAATTGGGAGAAAAATGGATATTATAGATTGGTAAAAAGTAAATATAGTCTATTAAAGCTTTGTTTTGTTATTGGAAATGGTACGGACAGTTTTCCTGAATATTCCAAAATGTGTATCATTAATTAATCTATGTACTATATCACTTTTTTCTAAATACAATGATTCAAAAAACAAAAAGTTATAGTTACACCAACAAATTTGAATCAAGAAATCAAAAAAGCTGTTGCTATAAATGTACTATGTATCCCCTTTATAAACAGTTAAAGATGACTTCTGCGTTTTTAATTGGGTTGAAATGTATAAAAATCTGATAACTATAACTACACAAATGTAATATTCAGGTGCTAAAAGCTTCCTCCTCCATATTTTTATGAAGTGACTTGGGTTTTACTGAAGGAAGTTCATTCTCACAGATAATTCACTGTGCCTCCATTATGTCCTCTTTTGCTTGGACTGTGAAAAACCAAGCATGATAATCATCCATTTGGCGTGAAAAGAGCATCACAAGATCCAAAATCAATTCATACATGTTGAACCCAACCATGATGCTGTAGACACGCTGACTTTACAGTACACTGAGGCTTCTAGTTTCCTTTATTTTAATCATTATCTGATGTGTAGAACAAGTCCAACTCCTTCATGTGGACACAGTTTAAATCCCAGGCTGTAAGAAGACTGGAAAGAATGTTTCCTTTTTACTTTCTTGGCACTGAATACATATTTTTTGAAGTAATAAATTCAATATGCAGGAAAACTTTAGATAAACAAATCCCACCAACTACACTAGCTCTATGTGGTAGAAAATTAAAATTAAAGTTAGAAATTACATTCATACTGGCTCATACAGAATATAAAATTTTGTCATAATATTTTAAGAAGTCACTAATAAATAAAAATAGATAAGTAATTTTCCAGAGCATCCAAACTGAAGTTTTAATTTTGTAAAGAGTAGGAGACTATCTATTAAAGAAGATATTACTGTTGTACAAATAAGAAAACCAAGATGTGGAGTGACACCACTATATAGCCTATCCATAGCCATGTTGTATGTAAACAGAAAAAGCAGGGCCCAAGCCCCCAAAATCTAATTACTACATATATATATATAGTGTGTGTGTATATATATATATATAGAGAGAGAGAGAGAGAGAGAAAAAATATATATATATCCATCAAACCAAGCTGCAGTAAAAAAAATTATTTTGTTATTGGCAAACAGGCAAATCTTGAAAGGACTGTTTGGAACACAGTAGTGTGAGGAATGATGATATAAGTTGTGGAAGAAAGCTGGATGGTCCAAGTGATAAGTAAGATGGTTAAACCATCTTACTTTTTTTCACAAAAGGGGACAAGAAAGCATAACAGAAGAACTGGTTTTGAAAATGTCAGCAACATTTCAAACTAGACACTCAGAACTATTTTTGAATTAAATCAAATATGAGTAAAAACCATCATCTGATGTTTGTAAACATACAACACAGAGTAGTGAAAGGCTTTCTGGCTTTCTGTCTCAGGTGATACCTCCGAGTCCTTACGGAAAGCCTGGGAGCATTTCTGCAGGTCACTTTCACACTGGGCTGCTTGTGCCTTTTCTTTCTCCCAATAGTGCAGCACATTTTGTAGCTCCACTTTCAAAGTGCTTATTAAAGCCTCTCGGTCTGCACATCTGGTACGCAAATGACTTAACTCCTTATGGACATCAGTCAGTTTATCTTGAAGTTCCTGTCATAGATATCAAATAAGAGACTATAGGAAGACTATCCAACTGAGAAAGGGCAAGAGGCACACAAATATCAAATATGTAATGAAAACCTTCAAAGTTTTAATATAAAGCAATCAAGCATTTGCTTATAATGCTAAATAGTAAGGTATTTTACAGAATATACTTGCTAAATAGAATATTTTAGCTCAAAAACTAGAAAATTTGTAAAATTTAAACATATACATAAACTGTTATTAAGACTGCTTATTCCAAGTTCCAAGGAGTTTTCCTTTCAACTCATAAAAAGGGCCATTTATATGATGTATTACATTGATTGACTTATGTATAGTGAACCATCCCTGCATCTCTGTAATAAAGCCAATTCGATTATGGTAGATGATCGATCTTTTTGATGTGTGTCTGTACGTAATTTACGAGTCTTTTGTTGAGAATTTTTGCATCTATGTTCATTAAGGATATGGACCTATAGTTTTCTTTCTTTTTTTTTTTTTTTTTGTTATGTCTTTACCTGGTTTTGGTATTAGAGTAATTCTGGCTTCATAGAAGGAGTTTGGAAGTTCTCCCTCTGTTTCTATCTTTTTAAATAATTTAAGTAATACTGGATGTAGATTTATTTTAAAGGTGTGGTAGAATTCTGCTGTGAAATCGATCTGGGCCTGGGCTGTTTTTATTTGGGAGGCTCTGTTTCCATTTCTTCTTTTGTTATGAGTCTGTTTAACCTGCTGATCTCTTCTTGGTTTAACTTTGGAGGATCCAATGACTTTGTAAATTCATCTATTTCTTTTAGATTTTCTAATTTAATAGAATATAGGTTTTTAAAGTATTCCCTTATAATGGTCTAGATCTTTCTCGTGTCTGTTGTAATGTTTCCCCCTTCCTTTCTGATTTTGTTGATTTGGATTTGCTCTTTCTTTCTTTTGGTTAGCTGGGCTAGGGGTCTGTCTTGTTTATATTTCAAAGAACCAGCTCTTAGATACACTGATTCTTTGTATTTTCTTTGTTTCTATTACACCACTCATCAAAGAAGCTTCTTTTTGCAGCAGATGGAGACAATTACAGAGTTCAACAACTGGTCAAACACCGAACAGAATAAGTGCCTGTGAGATACCCACCCCTAAGTGACACATCTACAATGGAACCTCTACATCTAAGGCTCATAGAACAGAGTAGAACAGGGGGTAGAGAGAATATACTAATAGTCTCTTAACTCTCACCAGTGACGCTTCCTCATGCAACACAGGGTGATCATCACAAAGTCACAACTGGCCAAAATGTAGAGAATAAGAGACTGCAGAGTACATGTCCTTGGATAAAACTCCTATATTAAACCTCTGCCACCCAGGGTTCAGGGACCATTGCAGAATGGACTGAAAGACTATAAAGAGACTGGTTGGTAGATGACCACAAGGAAACAGAGTTTTCCAGACAGCTGGGAATTTGCTCATATGAACTTATGGCAGTGGTGACAGCATGCACAAAGACCCATGCAAACTCAAATCAGACAAAAATTCAGCATAGACCTCAGGAACTATTGGCAGCTGATCACTGCTGGGTAAAGGAGAGTTGGTCATCTTTATGCCAGATAGACTGATGAGGCTCTAGTGGATGAACTTACATTGAGGGATATCTATGGATACAAACTTGACTGGATAGGCCTTAACATATATAACAGAATGCATGAAATCAAGTGGGTGGGCTAATAGGGGGTTGTAGACATAGGAGGTAGTCTAAATATGATTAAAATGTATTATTGTATGAAATGCAAAAAAATCAATTAAAAATATATATTTTTTGAAATTTTTTAATGAGCCTCAGTATACTTTATGCAACAGTTCCTAATCAAATTCAGACCTCCTCCCTGATCCATGCCCTCCCAATCCACCACTGGACCTCATGTATTCTACCATACATGCTAAGTCAAGCATTTGTATCCAGATGTCTCTTGGTACAAATTTACCCACTAGAGTCCAATCATCCACTGAATATCACAAGCAAGGTATGCTCTCCCTCACCCAGTAGCAATCAGTCTCCAACAGTTCCCAGTCTAGGGCCTACATATTATATCATTTATAATATATAAATACATATTTATTAAAATATATATTTTTTAAAGGTGGCTCAAAAAAATTTAAAGGCACTTGAGTAGCATTTAAAGCAGTAACCCTTTATATTTAACAGGACGCCTGCTTTCCAATGACATTACAAACACTAATAGAAATCTCAAGAATGTGAAGAATGTGGTGTGAGAGTCTGCTGAACTATGTTTCTTTTTTTGTTGTTTGTTTTGTTTTTTGACACAGGGTATCCCTGTAGTCCCAACTGTCCTGGAACTCTATAGACCAGGCTGGCCTTGGTGGATCCACCTGCCTCTGCTTCCCCAGGGCTAGGATTAAGGGTATGCACCACCATGCCAGGATACTATTTGTTTCTTGGCCTTACAAATGCTCTCTAACGGTATCCACTGAAAACTGAACGTAAATACCAAAACAGTAAAATTCCAACAAATACTGACTGACTTAAGTTTTGTAAAGAGGTACATAAAACTGACATAGAAAATCAAACTGTTTTCTTGAATCTTAGTCAGCTGTGGTCTCAGCCCATTAACTAGACATGTACTAAAATCAATGGCTCCACCCGAAATTGATAAAAACTGATTCTGCATACAGATGTGCATATATAAAATGAACGTTAAATGTCAAATCATTTTAGTCTCTAATATTATATCAGAGAAATTAATTTTTCCTTCAACCAAAGCAGTTTGATCAACAAAAAACAAATGTGCTCAATATTTTTTTTATGTGCATGAATGCATTGCCTGCATGTATGCAAGTGCACCCTTGTCATGGAATGCCCATGGATATCAGAAAAAGGCATGTGGGTGCTGGGAATTGAACCTGGGTCTTCTGTAAGAGCAGCCAGCACTCTTAATGACTGAGCCATGTCTTCGAAAAGGCATGTGGGTGCTGGGAATTGAACCTGGGTCTTCTGTAAGAGCAGCAGCCAACACTCTTAATGACTGAGCCATGTCTTAAGCCCTTAAATAGATGTTTTAAAATACTTTAAAAATAGGAAGGTACTCAGACGTCATGGTACATGCCTTTAATCCCAGCATTCTGGATGCAGAAGCAGGTGGAACTCTATAAAACAGAGGCCAGCTTGGTCTACATAAGCAAGATCCAGGCTAGCTGGGGCTCTAGGGAGACCCTGTCTCAAAAAGACAAAACAAAAATGGAGGCTATATTCTATTGGCAGGATCTCTAAAGTATTCCCTTCATAATTAGGTTTGCTTCTTCACAAAAAGAAAATATTACTTTCAATTGTAATACCTTTATATTTTTAGAATGAGACTCCATCTTCTGTTTGGTAGAATCAAGTTCGTTCAGTGTTTTTTCCTTAGCATCATTTACACTGTTTAGCTGAGGGGAAAAAAAAAGTAGCTTTTTTTACATTTTTCAAGAATTGGTAACTCAAAAGTTTACCTTTAGATGTTTGTTATGCAATTACTTAAACATAAATTAAGTACAATTCTTCTTTTTGCTTAAGGACTGTGTAGTTTCTATCACAAGCTCATGTGCCTAAAAAGAAAAGAAAGCATTCCACCTTAAAGCATCAGTGATCTTATTATTGTGCTTTTACTAGATGTCTAGATAAAGGATTTCATTCCTACTATAAACATAACTTTATTCTTAAAATCCTACTGGACTAAAATGCCAGAAGCAGTGGTATCTATAAGAAAAGAAAAAAGAACAGAGCAGAAAGCTGTTTTTCTCTACACACTATGAAGTATTCACTGGTCTCACTCCATATGACAACTTGAGGGTCAGTCACATGCCGTCCTACTGGGAAGGCTGTGGCAGGTCATCAGTTGGTCCTGCACTGCTTGTGATTTATTTTCTTTGACAGTTCATTCTTCTTTTTGTCAGGCTGTTCTTTCTGCTTTCTCTACAGCCACCCCTTGGTCTCCCCACTGCTGTCTCTGGCACTGGTTCACAACAAAGCACATTACTAAGCCAAAGCCTGCTGAGTCGACTTTTCTGCTGTGCTGAGGATCATGTGACATTCATCCTCCTAAAGAACAGTTCGCTGTGGGTAGTGTGCTCCTAGCTACTCTCGGCTTCCAGGCCTAGGCCTCAAAAGAGTTTCACAACTACTAACAATACAGGTTGTCTTTCCTCACTGGAAAAGACTTAGCAATATTTGCTCTTCAGAGAAATTTAATTACTTCAACAGTCACTTTTTTTTTCCTTTTGAACAATTGCAGAGGGTATTCACAAAAAAAAAACCAAAACTGACTTTTCCTTTTTTGTTCACCTTGGATACCTAAAATAAAATAAGCCTCTACCAATATATTATATATAGTGGTTTTATGGCCTTTGAATTATAAAAGAAAACTCCAAATTCTATGCTATATGACTTGTCATTGGCTAAACAAAATCTGTTCTTAACTAATTATATTTAAGTAATTACTTCGTATGCTAATTTGACAAGATGTAACTGGACAAGTTCATCAATTTCTAAAGCATGAATTTATAAAATATTTTAATAACCAAGAAAATTATGAACTTACATATTAAACAATACAAATGAGATGATAAATAGAAGCTGGAGCCTTTAATCAGCAAACTAATGGCTTCCAGACTACAGCAAATAGGTATTTGTTTTTTTAAAAAAAAAAAAACTAACACTTTGCTCCCTTTAGAGAATGAAAACTAATTTCTCTTAAGATTTCCATGGTTTACAGAATCCCTACACTATTGATGAAACCTAAATTTCTACTAGCTATTCCATAGATCATGAACATATTAACATTTAAATATAACATAATTCACTTAAATTATTCACGCAGCATTTTTATTCAGTTTAGACAGTTAAGTCATGAAAACCAAGAAGTGTGTCTTTTTAATTGTAAAAGGTGAAAATAATAGTGTGCTTGAAAATTACAGTACATAAGTGAGACAATACTTTAGGTTACACATAAAAAAGAGCAGCGGCTTCCAATTTATTGTTTCTGTATCAGTGAAGCTGACAACCCAACATCCCCAGTCTTTTTGACCTTTGTAACAAGCAAGGGATGCATACTGGTACTGCCCGAAGGCTGTGTGTGTGGAGCCAAACAGTCCAAGTGTTACCTCATTAGATGTATCTTCCAGCTTGTTCTGGTAATCTATCAAGGTACGCCTCAAAGTCTCAAGGACAGCAGAGAAGCTGGGAGGTTTATCTTTGTCCTTGTGGATGCCTAAAGAAAAATACAGGATGAAAACACACCCCTAAAGTCACATAAGCACAAAAGCTAAGTAAACAGTAACAGAGACATTACAATTAGTTGGAAAACTAAAAAGGCATGAAACTTGAACAGAAATTTATTCTCCAAGTGCATGGCTACTTAGCCAAGTACTAATAGTATTTCTAAATAAATGGCCAGATTAAAGCTCAAAATACATTCAATTCAAATTTATGGCTACTTTGTACCTTATCAAGACAAAAACAGTTAATAGATCCTCCCCCATATCTAATAAATAACAGCAGGGACTATATGTGCCTACTATCCAACAACTAAATAGTCTATATTAGCATTGGCTTAGAAAAATTACAGTGCCTACTTTGGTCCTTATGTTTCTGATCAGTCAGTCCTTAACAATGTACTATTTTGATTAAATAGTAACTTCTGATTCAAGGGTATATAATTTTCTACTATGATTGGAAATATTCTTTAACACTTAAAAATTCTCAAATTGAAATTGAAATAGACAATAAAAATGCTATTAACGGGGCCGGGTGTGGTGGCACACGCCTTTAATCCCAGCACTCGGGAGGCGGACGCAGGCGGATGTCTGAGTTTAAGGCCAGCCTGGTCTACATAGTGAGTTCCAGGACAGCTGGGGCTACAGAGGGACCCTGCCTCAAAAAGACCAAAAAAAAAATGCTATTTACTGCATAGCCCCTATGATGTTTCAATTGAAACCTTTAAGAAATGATATTCATTGTAAAAATATGAAGAGTTCCATATTATACCCTCAAACTACTGTACTGGGCCATAAGTCAAATTAATTGAGCTAATCAAGGTTATATGGTCAAATGTAATTCCAAATATGATTCAAGAGTAATGAAAAACTGAGTTTTAAATATGATTTTAAACTGATTTTTATTTTGCTATTCTTTGTTTTTTTATTGAAACAGTCTCCCTGTGACCCCAGCTGGCCTGGAACCCAGCTATGTAGACCAGACTGGCCTTTATCTCACAGAGACCTCTCTGCCTCTGCCTCTGCCTCTGCCTCTACGTGCCCAGCACTAGAATTAAAGGCATGTGCCACCACAATTGACTCTTACTATACTTTCTTTTTTTTTTTCGTCTTTTTGAGACAGGTTCTCCCTGCAGCCCCAGGTGGCCTGGAACTACTCACTATGTAAACCAGGCTGGCCTATAACTGACAGAGATCTGCCTGCCTTTGCTTCCAGAGTGCTGGAATTAAAGGTGTCAGCCACCATGTCCAGCACTGTTCTTTCTTTTTTTAAATGGGTATCAAATTTAGTTTGAAAATATTCATGAAAAAACTATTTTTTACTTCCTCTTTTAATTCCTCCCCATAATCCAGATATTTCAATATATAAGAAACATATTTTGGGGCTGGAGAGATGGCTCAGTGATTAAGAACACTGACTGTTCTTGAAGAATACCCAGGTTCAAATCCCAGCACCCACATGGCAGCTAACAACCGCTTGTAACTCCAGTTCCAGGGGATCCGACAGCCTCTTCTGTCCTCTGTGGGCCTTGCACGACATAGGTGCACTTATCTACATGCAGGTATAACACCCATACACATAAAAATAAAAATAATAAAATATTAAAAAAAACTTTCAATAAATAAAAATTTAAAGACACATTTGTAATGTGTCTTGTGGTTCATTCATTCATTCAACCCATTTAGTAAACTCCTCCTATGTATTAATCTTAGGCATCAGACATGCAGAGGTGAACAAGACCAGTGTAGTCTCTGCCCATATAAAATTTACACTCTAGTAAGAGGAATGGGTAGTAAATACATATGACATCATTCATCCATTTTTTTCAGATATTCAAAGGCTAGAACTTGTAGAAAATAAGAAAAGAAGGTAGTAAAAAAGTTCTCAATTGATGATAAACTAACTTTATTTTCTTAGAGTATTGATGATATTTATGGCTTTAAACATTTTAAGTATGGAGACAACTTAGATTTTCTTAAACAAAACTAAAATATTGAACTTAAAAAGCAGAGTGTTGTAAAAGCAACACTGAAGCTGGGGAAGGTGCCCAGGCTCTGAGCAACAACAGTGGGGAAGACAGCACTCTTAGTACTGACTATGAATTGGAAAGACAACTAATTAAAGATGCTACTGAAGGTCTTAAATTGCTCTGTTGTACAGGACAAAAAATGCAATGTATAATTCTTTTGGCACTGCACAAAGTAGGCCATAAATAAATCATTCAAGGACATTCAGAAAATCTGCTAAGTTTTATAGTACAGGAGAAAACTTACTCTAAGAAATTCAGAAGTATAAAAATCATCATAATACAAACATTAAAGGATCACTATGCCCTCACTTTACTGACCTACGCTTATATAGTACATAAAATTAAGTTTTCTTGCTTGAAAATGTTTACATTATAAAAGTTTCCTTGCAGTACAAATTACACTTTATTGCCTCACCAATATTCATTATAAAAAGACTAGCAATCCATAATATGACAAAATGTTGAGGAAGAAGAGGAAGAGGAGAAGGAGGAGGAGGAGGAGGAGGGAGGGAGGAGGGAGGGAGAGAGAGAGAGGAGAAGGAAAGGGGAAGGAAGTGAAGGGAAAGGAAGCAAAGGAAAATGAAAGGTCCCTCAGGAACAAGGATCTTACTGAATGAGTTGACTTAATGTTCTAATCACTGCATCCTGGCCCAAAACATAATATATTGTTAAAACTATCCAGTTGGCTTTTTCAAAAGTCAAACTCCAAATGGAAAATAGCTACGTTAGAAACACTCTGAATTTCAGTTCAAGACCAGCCGCTCCTCCCCCCCTGTGTGTGTCCTGCACACGGTGCCGGCCTGCACCTGCCTCTCAGCACTCCCTCTTCATTCCTCTCACTTCAAGTAGGCCTCAGCTCAGGTACACTCTCACAAATCTTTGCTTGAATGAGGAGCCCAAAGAGGGAGCGGGCATAAGAAAACATCCCGAAAACCTCTATTTAAATGCTTTCCTTTAGAGAATCTCAAGAATTAAACATTTTTAAATTACTTGTGTAAATTTCAGTAACCAATAGTGCACAGCAAACACAGTAAGTTGTGGTTGGAGTGAGTCCATCTCTTTTACTTTCTCAACCATCCTTTTACTTTCCTGTAAGACCCCACACACACAACAGGGGAGAATTACTAAGAAAACACATACATACATGCACAAAGAAATAGCACAGAGGCCTGGGGAAATGGGTCAGTGAAGGATCTGAGGTACACGGTCTCACCAAATCAGCAAGCTCCAGATTCAGTGAGACACTGCCTCAAAACTACAGTGGAGAGCAATCTAGAAAGACACTTTCTGTTGACCTCTGGCCTCTGTATGCACACACATGCTGAACACACACACACACGCACACACACACACACACACACACACACACACACACAGAAATAACAGAAGCTGAGCATAATGTCTCACAACAGCACTCAGAAGGCTGAGGCAAAAGGATTACTGTGTGTATAATGCCAGCCTGGGCTACACAGTGAGTTCCAGGAAAACCTGGGCTACAGAATAAGACCTGTTTCAGAAAAAAAGAGCAAAAATAAAAAGCAACAAGAAATAACAGCATTTAGACAAAGTGTGAACTTCTTGTAAAAGATAAATAAAGCAAGCCTGACTAGTCGCATTTACCCTCAGAAAATGAAGGTGAGAGGAATTTTCTGTTGTTTAAGGCTGATTTTCTTTTTTAGCACATGGCAGAAAATAACATTCAAATGGTTTTATTTTCAAATGATAAAAAATAAGTATTTACTATATAATACATTTATCACTAAGAAAATTCCTTCTTATTCTAAAAGCCTTAAATATAAACATTTTGCTAGAAGCTTCTTTTCAAACTACATTCTATATATGAACTTCTCTTAATCACTGAGGTCATAAACATCTTCATTATCTTGCAAACATTGACTCTCACTCTGAAGTATTTAAGGAAAATGGGTCAAAACATATGGAAAGTATTTACTCATATATGTCCTCAAATACTTCCTATGTCCCTTGTGAGACTCCAGAAAACAGTCTTTACCACACAGCTTGAGAGATGCATCAGTGAAAGGATTCGAAGCCTCCCTGAGCATCATGTGTCTAGATAACTTCTGTGTGCTAGAAAGCCAAGAATTCCAGCAGAAATGGTGTTATGAGTCTAGTGCACCAAATGCAGTGAGAAGATGGGATCTCAGCTGATACACACCAAAGGACAACAGCTTACAGAGACAAAGTGTACACAGTGATCATGACAGGTAATGAGTTAACAGCAATAAACTAAAAGGCTTGATCTGTGGACATCACTAGCATATGCTAATTGATGATAGTATTCCTAGAATTAGAACACATAGACAGTCTACTTAAGTTTGAGCCTGATTTGTATAAGCATAAAACCCCTGAGGCTGACTATGGAGGTAAACTTAAATCAATACAAAAGACAGTATTGGCCCTTAACATTTTTTTTTGTTTTTTTTT